GTTTGTGACACACTATACGCAGAGAAATTTTCAAAGCGTTTACTCGTTTTTGTCCTAAATTAGAGGTGGTGGAATACGTTTGCATCCTACTACATCATACAGTCGATTCCTTGCAACAGATGATGCAAGCATGTTTTGACTTGGCCGACCCGATTTCGATTTGGGTCAGAACATTTTACTGCATCTCTATGCCACAAAAGAATACTAATGTACTTTTATTTGAACTACAAATATTAACTTAATATTACTACGTACACTCACCTATAAAAATTGTCACATTAGAATAATTTTTTGCACCAATGAAGTGCACAATTTATGTGATAACGTCGAAAAATTTTGTGACAATCTTGAAACGGGTTGATCCGTTCTCAGAATTGGTCAATTCCAGAACGGTCGCAACATCTAATTTGTATTATTATTATAACTAGTACTAGATGGGAAATGCTCATTGAGGCAATCCTGACAAGAAACCCTCCCCTTCATAATCAAAAGGCACATTTACAAGAATTGCCCCAAACAGGTAGGTAATCAATCAGCAGTAGTAGTAGTAGTGCCACTGTTCTGAATAACAATTAGACCCAATTTGAAATGGGTTTTGATAACATCACATACAGTGTGCAACAAGGAAAAATTATCGCGTAATGTAAACAGTTATAACTCACCCAATTTGGATCCAAATTGCGTTGCGAATATTTCAAAACTGTTCAGTTGAGAGGCAGCTTAGCTATGTTTAAGGAATGATTTATATTTAGCCAGTCAATTAATCTATGGAAAATTTGGATTTTCAGAGTTCTGAAAGAACCATTCATCATATGAGTTAATTTGATCACCCCCCGTGTATCTGCTATTACGTATCACATCAATGCCACCAACCTAACACTAATTATAAATGGTGCCAGCCTTGTCATGAAAAAGAATGATAAAAAATTTAATTGGACAAGAGTTGGTTGAGAAATTTATTGAAAAACAACTGAGTTACAGGTGAAATAATAGAGAGCAAGAAAAGTGAATACCTTACGAAAAATTAGTGATATTGAGTATTTATATTTGGCTGCAGGTGGCTTTAGTAAGATATACAGAGCTAAATGAGAAAAGAAGAAGTTGTGCTTAAAAACTTAACTGAGATTGCTAATAATAATAATAAGTTGACTGATGGTTACAACATGATTATTGCTTGAACAAACGCGAAGTTTTGTTTTATATATAATAACAATAAAGGTTTATTTTGGTCAAAACGTCTTCTGTTGAAAAGCAAGCACAATGTCAAGCTATATTACATTTTTGGGACAAGAGTGTCAAATCTGCAAAAGAATTGCACATTCTGACTAAGATACCACCATCAACAATCTATTATAATATTGAAAAATTGAAAACGTAGTGCATAATAATACCAATACTGTAATAAGGGAGGTAATGGCTGACCTAAAAAATACATGTGGCGCAGCACAAACAATCAGTCAGTACTAGTACTAGTGCATTTATCTTTGTCACTGAGCACTTTGGAAACTAGGGGCTGACAGCAAAAGTGTCAATGTATCTCACATAATAATAACAGTTTTGAGATATTAATATTTGAAAGACCATGGTTACCAGAAAAGCATTCCAAGGGCCACCCCTATATTGACTGCCAAACATAATAATAAAACACAAAGAAAAGTGTGTTGAATGGGCAATCAGACATCTACACAACTGGTCAAACACATTATTTGGTGATGAAATGGCTTTTCGACTGTTTAGAAATACAGTTCTTGCTGGCATAATAATAAGGGAAAAGACCAGTCTGATGCATTCCAAAAGATAGAACAAAAATTATGGCATGTACACTCACTGGACAAAAGTCTACGTAATTTTTGTCGATCACAGAGTAAAACATATGAAAAATCTATTTTTTCGAAGCGCTCTACTGTACGTATCTACTATGTGAGTCACAACGATTTTTG